TTGCATTTTGATGGACAGAAATACTAAAATGAGGGCCTCCCTGATGGCAAAGGGGTTAAAGTCTCAGTGCTATCAAGCTATCACCAGCCACTGCAGCATGAGTTCAAACCCCACCAGGGAGGTGACCCATATAAGGTTCAGGGGCCCTTGTGTGTCTTGCCCACTGCTCCCCTCAGCAGTGCATTTCAGTGGATCTGCCTTTTCTGCTCCCCACTCTGTCTCTGGTGAATCTTCTTACCCCCTCCACACCGCACCTCTGGCCTACACCCCAGTTCTTGTATTCATAAATGAATAAAAATAAATATTTGAAAAATAAAAAGAATTAAAAAAAGAAATACTAAAATGAATTATGTAATCGAAGTGGCATTATGGTATTCTGTAAAATCTATATTATATTACCCAATAGCTTTGTAAAAAGATTGATTTATTCCTGTTAACAGTGAAAGAAAAAAAATGGAACATATTAGCAGGTAACTGGCAATACTATTTTTAGAAAACTGTGCCCTAATTTTTAAAAATGGGTAAGGTTTGAGCCAACATTAAATAAAAAGGAATTGGAATTCCATATTCAAGTGAAATTATTTGATTAAAGAAAATAACACACCCATAAACAAAGATAGCATCTGAATGAGGATGATTTTTATATGGCTAGTAGTCTCTGGATTATCAAAAATGCTAGGGGTTCTGTGAATTTCATTGCATGTATATTTCACATGATATTTTCGAGGAAGGGTTTTGATCCTAAATGCCATAGAAGACAAGTCATCAGACAGCACTTCTCAGGGCTGTGGACATCACATTTATGAACAATCCAGTAGAGCAACAATTTTTTGGTTATTGTTATTAAATTGAACCTCCCTCTATGATCAAATCATTTATTTGCTCTGCAGCAATGCCTGTCAAGTGTGTGACGCAGCAGATTGAGTAAGGCTTTCTCCCCTGGTTACCTTTCATTCTCCTAGTACTCCTACAGGGAGTTAGGGGCAAATCACATGTTCCACTCACTAGGTGTCTATATCTTTCAGTGGGATTTGAGAGAGATGCAAGAGAAATGCATTTGCCTAGATGTGGAGGGGAAAGCAGTCACTCTCAATTCTACTTCTCACCTCCCTCCTCCTTTTCCATTTTAAAAAATAATCTCACGAAAAATTTGCTTGTGGGCAAAAGTTCCTCAAAGACTCCCCAATACACACTTAAAAAATGTGGGATCATTTTTAAGTTTAATAGACCCAGATTGGGCCTCCCCTGGTGGCTCAGTGGTTGAGCGCTGGGCTGCAAAGCTGCCTGCAGCCTCTGCAGCGCTGGTTCGATTCCCGGCCGCTGGCAAGGGTCCCACATGGCACGCAGACCTCTCCTGCTGTGCCCGCTGGTCCCCTCAGCAGTGTATTTCGTCAGTCTGTCTGTTCTGTTCCCCACTCTGTCTCTGATGAATCCTCTCACCCACCCCCCAACCCTTGCACCTCTGGCCTGTACCCCAGCTCTTATATGCATAAATAAATCTTAAAAAAAATAATAGACCCAGATGGATGTGTGAGTGAGGTGGTGGGAGCTGGGATATTCTGCCATCTAACTCCTGTGAGGATGGCCTGTATTGAAAAGACTAGAAACAAGTGCTGGCAAGGGTCTGGAGGAAAGGACCCCTCCACTTGCTGGTGGGAATGCAGACTGGTCCAGCCCTTGTGTAAAAGCTGTATGGAGGTATCTCAGAACATTAAAGAGAGAGACAACTTTTACTTTCTTTCCTTATTTCAGTAAGGGCAGATAAGAATGTAAAGTCAGAGTTTTATATTCAGCATATGATTTTATCTGCAAGTGTTGTAGAATTTGAGGAAAGAGCCCAGTAGTCTTGGGTATGGAGCTAGCTTCAAGCGCATGAGTAGGCTCCAGTCCAAGAGAGTAAGGCTGTCACCAGAAATCTCTGGAAATGCTCAGAGAAGAGAACATTGTGCTTCATCAAGCAGGTTAATAGCAGCTGATGACAGCCAACAGAGGCCTTGCTATGTGCCAGAGCCCTCACCAAATGTTTTCTTACTTTATTTCAACTTAACCTTCAAAATCACCTCCTGAGACAAGCACCCTTTTCCTTCAGTTGACAGCTGAAGAGACTGAGTCTGAGAGAAAGTAAGCAACTTGCTCAAATCAGTGGGCGAGTCAGATGTGACCCTGGCGCCCCTGCTGTCCCGACAACCTCACTCCCCTCCCCTGAATGGACCCCATGGTCTGAGTTTCTGCTCTGAAAGCATCTGGGAAAGTAGCGAGGGGCTGACAAGTGGCCTCAGAAAAAGTCCAAGTTCTTGAACCTTGGGAATTTACACTGCTGGTCCCTATAAACAGATGTCAGCATAAGAATTTAGGAGGAAAACCAGCTCCTTTGGTGTTAAAAAATGTATCCTAAATGACACTAAGTGATGGGAACTCCCAGGCAGGGCCAGGCATAGTGAAACACACTGTGTGCCATATTAAAAGTGTGTGAACATTACGGGATTATGAGTTTGATGGTTTTTAAATGGCTGGTGATTTAGCAGGTCATGTTTGCAAACAGCCTAGAGGTTTTTCTTGCACTTGTGAAAAGCATGCCCCCTCCTTTCTCAAGCATGAATCCTTGTCATTGTTGTACCCAAAACGGCTCCAGCTCTGTGCTCTCATTTCTATTACAATGCATTAAAATGAGTAAGGCTATTTCTTATTAGCCTGAGCATGCACAATATAATTAACTATAATACTAAATTAATTACTAATATGTTTATAGGGTGTGTGTAATATTCATTATTAATGATATTAACAAATTTAATGATAACAGGAGGTCATGAATACTTTATAGAACTCAATTTCCAAGTCACCTGTATTTTTTTTACTTCTTTTGGACCTTTTGTTTCATAGCTTATATTTTAATCATTTATATATCACCCCTCCCACATTTTAGGCTGCCTCACTAGAGTTGGGATCTGTAATCAGGCTGTAGTTCTAACGTTTGTCTCTCAGTGGCATTTTCCCTGATTAGCCAAGAGTTAGTCGTCCTGCACAGTTTTCCTGTCACAGCAATGCCTTCAATCACTTGTTTCTAATCCAGGGCCTTGTAAATCACTTTGAAAGCGGTCACTGTAATCTCTTGCACAAGTTTTGCCAAATATGACATCTGTACTGTTATCTGATTTGAGACTTTAACTTCCAGTAATAAGATTAATTAAAAAGGATGTTTGAAAGGGAATAATGGCTTTCGATCTAATTCTATGTTACTGCCACTTTGTTTAATGCCCAGCATTATCCTTTTTTTTAAAGATTTATTTATGCATCCAAGAACTGGGGTACAGGCCAGAGGTGTGGGGGGTGAGAGGATCCACCAGAAACAGAGTAAGGAACATAACAGGTAGATTGACTGAAATACACTGCTAAGAGGAGCAGCAGGTGCGACAGGAGTGATCTGCTGTGCCATGTGTGTCACCTCCCTGGCCGGGATTGAACTCGTGCTGCAGTGGCTGCACATAGATTCACAGCACTGAGACTTAAACCCTAGTGCCACCCACCATGGAGGTCCAAATGCCCATCATTATCTTTACAGCCCTGGTCCACTTGGAAGTGTCCTATGACATGCCCCCAAATAGAAAGCACATCAAACCTGAGTTCATATCCCCTCTTCTTAATTGCTTGATTATTGATAAGTTACATAATTCCTTTAAGTTTTGATTCCTTGTTAAAAGAGAGCCAAATATATTAACATTTCCAGGTCACTCTGCAAATTTTATGAGTTAATGTTTCATAGTGTTTAGTCATGTGTCCGGAACTTGTTGAAACTATGAGCACCTATCGTGTGAGCACCTCCTTAATGCTCAGGATCTAAGGAGTATGTGATGGAGAAGAGCTCTGCCTTCATGGAACTTAGCCATTTCAGTGAGGACAAGTACACCACAGCAACACATCCAAGTGCCAGGCATTCCAGGCAGTGATAAAAGCTTGGAAGAACATAAAGTGAGGCGATATGAAAGACGGTCACTGGTAGTTTCCTTCCTGACTCTCAACCCAATATGGTTGGTATTTAATATAAGCAGAAAAAGATGAGAACAATTGAGAATGTGCATTCTATTGAGGGAAGCAAAGGGCAAGAACATGAGAACGAGTCATGATTGCCATTTAAAACATAATTAAACCCATGACCCAAAATTTCAATTTCTGCTCTCTTCTCACATCTGCCTTTTTGACTTACTTTCTGTAGAACATACAATCTTCTCGTAGATTCAAATAACATTTCCTTGTTCACATCTTGCAAATTAAATGCATTTGGGGCTTTTTCACCCACTTCCACTGAGGTGGGACTTTTTATTTATTTTAATCTAAATTTTTTATTGTGCTTGATAGAATTACTTTAGTAGAGTTGAGAACATATTTTCACATAATCCAACCCACCTAAATATACTTTGGGGAAAAATTTACTAATTTTATTTCAATTACCCATATATATTTTCATATGGATTCATTTTACCAGATAATTTCTGAAATATTTGACAGAATTTCTAAAAAAACTTGCAATATATTTTAAAAAACCCAGAAAGTCAGCATCTTAAATTAAATTATGAATCTAGAAGTGAGAACTTACTTCTGAGTTCAGCAGTCAGCAGATTCCCTGAGCGGGGAAGGGCTTGGAGTTTAGGGTATGCTTGATAACCGAAAGGGAAATCAAGATGGAATAATTGGAAGTTGCGCCTCAAAGAAGGATGGCTATTTATATATATTTCAAAGATCCATTATTTAACCTATGATAGATAAAATTAACTCTTTGGAGGCCCTGTACATTAATTTTGGAGGGCTAGGAAAATATATTTCTTCTTTACTTTTCCAATTTCCCAGTCCCTTTGCCACTTTAGTCATTCGCAGTGATTTTGAGTTCTGTTGCCCTAGCTGGACTCCGTTAACATCCTTCTGATGTCTAAGTGGCTTAATTATTGGAGTAAAGATTTTGAAGAATCAATTAAAAAAGTATACCCAATTAGTATTGAAAAGGCAGTTACTCTGTTCCCAGGGTCTTTCATCTCAGTCATAATTGAATCCTGCCGTTCCTTCTCCAGTAACAATAAATCTTTTGATCTCTGTGAAAGAAAGAAAGATCAAGCAGATCCTCAGAATCCACAAATGAATCTCTTTCCTCCCCTTCCCCTTCTTCAAAGATCCAATTAAATGTGAGTTATAGTTATGTTTTCAATATAATTACCAGGAACAAAAGAAAATTACTTCCTTTATTATCATAACTGAATAATCATTTCTCCTTCCAGTGTTTTTCAGTTACATTTTAAATCAGTGAGATTCATGCGAATTTTACTTTCTCTCTGGCAGCTCACAATAAGGGCCTTTCAGATAATACCACAATCTTTTTTTTTCTTCCCCTGTATCAGAACCCCTTCCTCTAAAATATGTAGTTCAATGCCTTGGGTGCATTGGCCCCAATCTGCTTTGGAAACAATCACTTTGTTTCCAATCACTTTGTTTCCAGAACAGTATTTATGGCTGTTTAGCAGACTAGATGCTATGGTGGAAAAATCATTGATCTATTCTGACCCCAATTGTTACTCTTCTACAACAGGTGAAATAATTCTGAATCCTCAGTTTCCTATCTACAAAACAATATTTTTCCCATAGCATTCGGAAAGAGAATCAAACGTGGAAATGCACACATGCTGTGTTTTAAACAATCATGAATTCTATAGGCAAGTTTTATCACCACGGTGCTAGAGGGAAAACCCTGGCAGCCTGCTAGGATGCATAAAACCTGCCATGGTTCACCTCATTTTGTATACCTCACTTTATGCAGCTACTTGCATTCATTTGGACTAAATTTAGAGAGGCTGAATTATGGTGTTAAAAACTTGAATTCAGCACTTAAAAATCCATGAAGATTCCACACATAAATATGGTGTAGATGCACTCTTACCCACACTGCTAAATGATCATTTGGTGAGCAACTGTCTCAAGACTTCAAGAAAATGTACTAGTAGTGATGACACCAGTGACATGTCATTCAGAATAATGTCAATAGAGTGGCAAATATGTATTAATATTTTGGGCTCAAACAGCCTCCCATAATCCACTTTGATTCATTGTTACTTCCACCACAAAAAAGAACCTTCCAGGAATTTTATCTGGGTGTCTGTGCCATCCAGAGTGCTCTCTGTAATCCAGATGACTTCAGGGATCTTGGGTCTAGCAAATTGGAGATCCTGACAAGAGTGAACTCATGCTGCATTTTATTTGGTGGAATAAGGTGAAACTTCGTGGAGCTGAGTGAGGAAAAGTCAGCAGATGATCAGTGAACAAGACATTTTGATAGCTAATTGTATGTGTCACCTTTGCTGGGCTATGTTACGGCGAGAATATTTTTTAGACATGATTAATAGTTAAATCACTTGATTTGAAATAAAGCAGATTACTTTCCCCAAGGTGGGCGGGCCTTATTTCATTGGTGAAGGCCTTAAAACGAAAGACTTGTTTCCCAAAGAGGAAGAAAGTTTGTTTCAAATCTGCCACATAGAAATGCTCTCTGAGTTTCTTGCCTGCCGTATCAGGCTGTGGAATTCATACTTGAGACTCTTACCTCAATTTCTAAGCAGCCAACTTGGCCTACGTATTTCAGATTTGCCATGTTCCACACCATTTGAGCCAATTGCTTATAATAAAGTATGCTCTCTCTTTCTCTGCCTGGAGATATACAGGAACAAGTGATAGCATTGCTGTGAAAGGGAAACTCATGTAAAATAATTACCCCCAAACTACTTAATACACGCACACACAAACACATGCACACATTGATATAAAAACACAAATGTATGAATACAACAAAATAGAAAAGGAAATTAGTTAACAGTTTAAACGTAACTGTTTATAGTCTTTTGAAACTCACCTACTTCCAGATTCCCAACATTTACCTCTTGTATCCCACATATGTAGTTTGAAATTCACGTTTAAGATGCTATTTATTTATTTCTAAATAAAAGCTGTTTTTTTTTTCTCTGTCAAATTCTAATCTCAGGGATAATACTTCTGATTTTAAATTATAGCCATTTACATATGTCCTTAAAATCCATTTGTGTGCTTTGGAAAGAAACCTAAAACTTGCTATCTGCAAAATCATAATGGAGCTTGGAGGCCCAAGGCATCATTTTTCAAGAAAATGAGACCACAGACAGAAACCAGTATTTGGAGAACTGGCACAGCATTATTGGTAAAGATTAACTGACATGATCCAAGTGGGTGTTGTCTGCAGGTTTGCACACACACCAGAAAGGAACCATCTGACCCAGTTATCTAGCCAGAACTGGGCCAGGTCCTTGGGTGCAGAAGCCTTTGAGCAAAGGAGAGAAAAAGTTAAATTAAGCATTTATATCAATATTTTCAGGTTCACGAAATCATTTGCTCAGATAAGTAAAATAATAAAGCAAAAATTACAACAACAAAAAAGTTGAGCTGTGTGTTTAAGGTTGTAAGAGAGACCAGAGCAGGCTGTTGATGGCTTACCTTGATTTCCCTCTGCTTCAGCTTAGCTCCTGTTGCTCTGACTGGTGTGAAATGAAGAACCTGGGTTATGAGCACATCAGGTCTCCAAAAACGCCGTTTTGCTCAGCATCATTTATAACCATAAGAAAAATAATTGTTCCCCCGCTGCGGTGACTGTGTGAAGTGTGCAAGTTCTTCCCTGGTCTACTGGGCTATGTAAGGGCCTCAGGATTCCTCCTACTTCCTAAACTAGTGCAGGTGAGGTTCTTTGCCTTGTCTGTAGTCCCAGAATATGTGCGTGTGTGAGACGTGAGGCTGTGCCTGCAATGGAAGGGCATCCTGTCGAGGCTTGGATCCCATCTTGCACCTTGAGATTCTGGAATAGGTGCAATCACCTGAGACCAAGCTGGAATGAGTAGGCTGGGGAAAAAAAGAATGGATGCAGATAATTGTTGAATATTAGAAGTGTTTTGGGTCCTTCCTTAGAAATTGGAGGATTTTCTTGTTACCAGAAATATAATATCTTAACAGTTTATCAGTTAAGCTGTGCTGCAGATGATAATTCTTATCTAGTTTCACTTTATGGTCAGAGTTTCCAACAACTTATGCCCCTGCTAGGTGAGGAGTTATATCACTACTTACTACACAGTGACCAGAGTAAGTGACTTAGGTCTGGAGCACCCACTGTGACACATATTCAGAAAAATCATAAATTTGCAGAAGGATGAAAATGTCATTAGGTTACTAAATCGTTGAGCATTGAGCAGTGTTTTATATGTTTAGATATACATACGGATGCAGATATGGACATGGAGATACAAAATAAAGGTAGTTAAGTATGTGGGGGGTATATTGTAGATATTTATGTAATAAATTACTGACAACTTTTTCTTTAAATGTGTGAAGCACGTGGCACATTATTGGCACTCTTAAATCTTTTAAGAAATAATGCATTTAAGTGCAAAGGTTTTTTTTTTTAAAGATTTATTTTTTTTTAAGATTTTTTTAAAGAGATATTTATTCATGCATACAAGAACCGGGGTACAGGCCAGATATGCAGGAGGGGGAGAGGATTCACTAGAGAGAGAGAGGGGAACAGAACAGGCAGACTGAAATACACTGCTGAGGGGAGCAGCCGGTGAGACAGGAAAGGTCTGCTGCGCCATATGGGTACCTCCATGGCTGGTGGGGATCAAACCCATTGCTGCCTAAGCTGCGGACACCTCCACAGCGCTGCACTCAACCAACTGCGCCACTAGAGAGGCCCAGTTTTTGTTTTTGTTTTTTAAACCTCTTCTCTATCCCATACCTTGCCTTTCCTCACGTGTTAATAATTATTGGGCAAATCAACAATACAAAACACAACAAAACAAAAACAGACAATTATAAATCAGAGACATCCTGCAGGGGAGGAGGAGGGAGAGGGATCAGAGGGAGGGAGGGAGGAGCACAGGGGACTGAGGTGATGGTGCACGGGTGCCTTGGGGAAGGAAACTCTATGGGGACTACACCTGACGGGGTGGGGGGAAGCAAACACTGTTTAGAAATGAACAATGATGTAAAAAATTTAAAAATAAATTTACTACTGAAGTTTCACAATTAAAAAAATAATTATCCTGGAATCAGGGTTGTTTCGGTTTTTCTTCCCAACTATTCATTCCCATTTTTTAAAAGTAGTTTCTTTTTCCGTTTTAGGAGATTGTAATTCTCCTTTGATATTTTGTCTTCTGGTAGTTTCTGGTACTTCAAAAAGGAATGATTTCCTTCTTTGGAAAGACTAAGCCAACCAAGTTAATACAGACAGTTAGGCCAAAGGCCAAAAAGAAATCAATTTCTCCCTAGCACCGTTTATGCTATGGACAAATCAAACACACATAAACCTGGAAATACAGGTCACCATGTACCAGAGATCATTAGAGGACTCACTCACTCCTTGACTAGCATGGAAAGAATTATTAAAAAATATATAAAAGACATGGCCCCAGTGCTTTCCTGAAAAAGGTAGCTTTTGATACTATACTTACTCCATCCCACCAATTTTTATATATGCTTATGTGGAACAAAAATTGAGTGTGTGTGCATATGTGCATGTTCAATATATCATAGTTACAAATTTCCACCAGCAATGAGAATTAGTTTTCTAATAGAAGAGTTCTGTGACTTGCTTGGAATGAAATAAGATATTCATCTTCAATAGCTTTACTTTTGAAAGTGTTTAACCTTCATTGCATCTCTAAGTACAGATTGATTGATGATTACACATATCTTATTCCCTGCTATTGTAAAGTCCAATATCAGAAAAGCTAATTGACCTTTTCTCATTCTAGATTAGACAGTTGGGTCCTTTTACAGTTTATCAGCTCCAATGATCTTTTCTCAAAATTAAGAAATAAATTGCCTTTCTCAAGGAGATACTGTGTTTGAGCATCCTGAGAGAAAAAGTTAACTCTTTCCCTCTGCAAGCATTACCTATATCTGTTGCAATGGGCAAATCAGTTGAATTTCAGCTTTACCTCTTAATGTTTCTATCTTCTCTTCAAATTAGAGGGACTTCAGCATATCTTCCTTATTTCAAAAACTTATAGATGCATTGCCTTGTCGTGATTTTTGCCACTTTTATTCTGGAATTGTAGATATTTGAAATTTCACAATTTTTGTATCTTTCTAATGCTGAGATGAACATGGAAATGTGTGTTGCTTCCTGCTTTTATTCTTTAATCACCTATGAGCACTTGGCCCTGCTAGACATGGCCCCTATGCCACTGTGGCCACTGTGCAGCATCAGGAATTCTGCTGTAGTGAATGGCTATATCCCATGTTGTGCTCTGCTATGATTAATGTCTGAATAAGTGTAACTTAGTGATATATTCACTAATATCACATTTTTTGCATGATGAACAAAGAGACTAAATTCCAGAACCAGCAAATACCTGAAAACTGGGAAGTCATATCTACAAAATTTAGCAAAGGTATTAAGGTCACCCACAGAAATACCATGTGTTCTGTATTTTACATGTTGGCTTCTCAATCTTCTACCCAAGTCTCTACACTATTAGCAAAGTGCATATATTCATTCATACCTTTAACCAGACATTATTAATGATATACCAGAACATCAGATACAGTCATTTACCACAGCATAGCATCCATGCCTCCCAGGGTCAAGAGTTTATGCATGATAACAGACACACATCTTCATGTTCATCACCGCATTATTCACAATAGTCATGAGCTAGAGAGCACCTAAGCATGATCCACTGATGAGTGGATCAAGAGGGTGTGCTATTTACACATCAGGGAACACTATTCACCTGTGGAATGAAAAAGATGTTCTTCCATTTCAAACATGATTGGATCAAGATGACATGTTTTGAGAGACACAAACACCATATGATTTCACTTGTTTGTGGTATATAGGGAAAAGTGGATGAACTAAACTTTTAAGACTATAACAAAACAGTTCATTTGAGCTGAAATGGTCAAGAAGACATTGTGAAATTCCTAGCAGAGGAGAACACAAATACCTCGTGTGTGGCTAACAAGACAGGAGGAGGGTAGAGCAAGAATAAAGGAGGAAAAATAACTAATTAGCCCAAAGATACTTCCTACCACACTTGTAAAAGACTTTAGGAAATGCTGGTCTGAAGAAAATTTGAATCTGATAATAAAGTATGTGAGGTGGGGGGCGGCTGGGCTTTAATTACAATGAGTGGGAGATTATAGCCCCATGAACAAATGGCCCCTGGCCTGACTCATTGTCTCTGTGGTCCCTTGAGCAGTCCCCCGCCACATGGACTCTGGTTTGGCCACATGACTTGCTTTGCTGATGGACATTAGCAAATATGAAGCAAGCAGAGGCTAGCAAGAGGAACTCCTCCTTCACCACGTGAAGAAGTCAGACTAGCTTGCTAAAGACATGAGGAAGGAATAGTACACACATAACTTACCTCCAGTTGAGCTGTTGGCTGACTGTAGATGCACAAGTGACTCAGCTGAGGCCAGAGCTGCCCAATGGGCCTCCACCAATGTGCTAATATGAATCATAAGCAGATGAAGTGGTTGTCTAAGGTATTTGGTTAAGGAATGATTTTTATTGTTTCAATATATAAAACAATACATTATGACACAAGTATCTGATATAATGTGATAGAAATATATTTTTCTGGGAAGAAACTCAAATAGGAAGAGCCAGAAACTGGAACTGACTCTTTCATGGTGATCCAACTAAAATGAAATGATCTAAAGTGGTTGTCTTAGTTTAAGGTACCTCATGTCCATTTGCTTATTTCTGGACAGGATCTGAGGATTAAATTGAAGTTTAATGATATCCTGCAAATGACTTAGAAAAAAATACTTCTCAGTGGGATTTCATAGGAAATAATGGAAAAGAAAGGGTCCAGTTCAGTGACAATTTAGTCTTTATTGACTTTTGCAATTGTAGACAAGGGTTATGGGGACCCAGATCAGAAGAGGGGGGGTCCTGCCATCATTCTGTAGCTGTGTCCATTTTGTAGATTACCACTCTCATTAGCTTGATTCCATGGGGAGGATGGGAGACTGTTGTCACCTCTGAAATTTAAAAAAGACAGTGGTCTTAGCCTAGAACATTCTGAGAGACCAGATTCATCTCAATTGTTGATGATTAATTTCTAAAGATTTCCTATACAAAGAGGAAAATATATAAAACCTAGAAAGATCAAAACTAAGAAGGGAGACAAGATATAAATACCCTGGTTCTGAATCTAACTCTGCCCTGTAAGGAGTGCTGCTACTTGTCTCTGATTAGTGAGGCCGGACAATACTAGCTCTCATCTCAGGGAAACAAATTAGCCCCATTAATTTTACATCCATTATGATCTTCAAACTTTAAGACAATATAAAGTATGGGCTTTATTTTTATCTATGCTTCACAGATGAAGAAGCAGACTGAGCTGGAATAATTGGGCAAGCATAACACAGCTGGTAAATGGTGACCTAGAGTTTATCATCTGGAAATGTTGTTTGACTTCAAGTCTCCTTTTCTCAGTGATGCTGGTTTCTTTCAACCTGTTTCCAAGAGCTGTGGATCCAGTGCTGCCTTGGGGAACACTGAGCAGAAAAAAAGAGAGTGGGG